CAGCCGGGCGCGTCCTGCCGCCGCTCGCCCTCCGCGGCCCCGGGAGCGGCCCCGGTTGCGCCGCCGTGGCGACGCGCGGGGGGATCCCGGGATGTCCTCGTCGCCCGTGGAGGAGTGCCGGTCGCCCGTGGGGCTGGACTGCTGCAGCTGCTGCCTGGACTTGGCCAACCGGAGCGGGCTGGAGGAGGGGGCCGGGGGCGAGAACAACAACCTGGGCAGCCCCACCGTCAGCAGCTTCCGGCAGCTGCAGGAGCAGCTGGTCCGCAAGAACCTCAACACCGACAAGCTGAGCTCCATCATGCGCCAGGACTCGCTGGAGCCCGTCGTGCGGGACCCCTGCTACCTCTTCAACCAGGGCATCTGCAACAGGAACATCGACCAGACCCTGCTCTCCATCCTCCTGCTCTTCCACAGGTGGGTGTCACCGATGGATGCCGAGGGGCTGCCTGTGTGCTGGGTGCCCCTGGAGCCAGACCCGGGCCAGCCGTGTGCTCGGGAGCTGGCAGTATGGGGGCAAGACGTGGGGCCTCCAGTCCCTTGGGCTGCGGGGGCAGGGGGACCCGTATGACCCTGGGGCAGGGGGACCCGTATGACCCTGGAGCCGGGTAGGGTGGCAGCGGCGGGGATTTCTAGGTGGGGAGAAGCATGAGCCTGGGAGGGAGCCCAGTGGCAGGGACCCTAGTCTGCCCGCCGTGGGTGGTGCCAGCCCAGTCCCTGGGTGCAGGTCCAGGTGGCTCTGCCTGGTGACGGTCAGCAGTGCCCCCCGTTAGTGCCCTGTGTCTGTCCAGGCAGTGACAACAGTCTCCAGCTGTGTGTCTTGGCCCCTGGACTCTGTGTTCATCTCCCTAGCTACATCTTATCCACGCAGACATTGCCTGCAGGGGCATGGACAGTGTCCAGCATCAAACAGGCGTTGTCCTCCTAGTCCTGCATGGAGAGGGGCAGCTGTCACTTGAGAAACAGCCATGCTGCCTCAAAAGCCGCCTTTACAGTTAGTGAGAAACTGGGTAGGGAGCCCAAGAGTCCTGCTGCCAGGTCCTGCTCTTTCAGCAGCTTCCCTGTCTCTCCCTGGAGTAAATTGAGTGGAGACAGATTTGGCCTGGGTGGTATTTCCCGTCCCTGGAAAGTGACTCTGCCCCTGACCGAGCTGCTCCCTCTTGGCTAGAGCTGCTCTGGGACGGGGCTGCCTGCACCCAAGCAGCGGGACATGCTGCGTCAGGGCTGGCCCCATCCACTTGCCAGAGGGCTGGGCTTTATGCCAAGGCCAGGTAAGGCAGGAGTGGGGGGTCCCTCCCTGCTCCCCTGCTCCGGCACTGTGGGCAGAGGAGACTGAACGGGGGGTCCCGAGGGCTGCCACCCCGCAGGATCCCCGGCCCTGATAAGGGGGACCCCAGGGGCCGGGAGGGGACAGAGCTGTCTCAGGTCCTGCACCGGTGCCTCCGGCTCTGCGATGGGGCTGGCCCTGGTGCCCAGCCAGCCTGGAGAGCTGGTGAGAGAACAGGGAGCAGCCTGTGCTGCGGGCTGGCAGGCCCGGGGCTCTCCAGCTCGGCCTTGGGAAAGCCGAGCTGGACCAGGGGGTGCCGCAGGGAGCCGCAGAGCTGCCAGAGCACCCCAGAGCTGCCTGTGGCTTCAGCAGGTGGGACGCATCCCTCCCCTCCCAGGGCTGAGGGCACATGTGGCCCCTCAGTGCCTATGTGGCAGGCATCTGTGTGACTGGCAGGGCAGGCAGCGGCTCTGGGGCTCGTTCCTTCGCCGTGGGTGGGGTAGCACGCAGGTGGGGCACGCAGCAGCACCCGCAAGTTTGCAGACACCTCGCCATCCCCTCCCCTTCTTGCACGCACATGCACCTGTAGGCGTGCTCCTGGGCTGTGCAGGGGCGTGCGAGCCTCCCTTCGCTCGCCTCACCCAGCACGGGGAGGCAAGTGGGCTCACACGTGGCTGCCCCACGCGTGCGAGCCACCCAGGCGGTGCGCGCACGCCTCCTCGTCCCAGCCAGCGTCTAATGCTGTGCAGGCTGCTCCTTCTGAGCCGTCCTCAGCAGAGACGCTCTTCCTGCACTTACATAACGCCGAGCTGCCGCTCAGGTGGGAAAGGAGGAGCTGGGATGCCCGCCAAGGCACCCGGCACCCGGCCCGGGCTCCCAGCTGCACGGCGAGCAGCGAACCTACCCAGCCGGGAGGGAAACAGGAGCAAGAGGTTTCCCTTTGCCCCAGGCGGCTGCAGCCAGTTGGCATCACGGGTGGAGAGGGGAAGCGAGACACCGTCCCCAGTGCAGGCTGTCGGGGCTGGGTGTCAGAGTCAAGCATCCAGACTGCTCTCCTGGAGAGGCAGTGACAGTGCCCGTGGGCGAGAGGCGGGCAATGTGGGCATAGCTTGTTGCTTTTGAACTTGTCCCTGCTGGGGCAGGACCCACAGTGCTCCCGACGAGCATCGGTCCGCTCTGCTGAGGTGGGGAGCAAGTGGAGGTGCCAGGCGACAGGGGTTTCTCCCCATCTGTGCCCCTCGCTGCAAGGCCCAAGCCTGTCCTCCATGCCCTGGTGTGTGTGGTGTCCCAAGAAGCTCCGGGCATTCCCTTTTATGACAGGCTGTGCCATAGCGTGATGCGAAGCTGTGGTGTCCCTCCATCACAGCCTGCTTCCAAGCATCCTGCTGCCAGCCTGGTCTGGAGGCTGCTTGGGTGATCCCCCTTTGCCCCTGGGTGGCACAGCCTGTGGGAGCTGGGGGGCACAGCCCCGGGCACTGGAGGCAGGTGTGCCCACACCTGTGTTTGCTGTTGTTTTGCTCCAGCCTGAACTTTCTCCTCCTGGGGAATGAGCCAAGATACCCAAGAGGTGATAGCATACAAAGCAGGGGATTGTGGGTGCCAGAGGAACACCCCGATAACAGGCCTGATAAGGGCACCCTTGCTGCTGGCACTGGGGAACCCGAGCAGGTTTGTGCCCCTTGTTTTAGCTGATGTCCTCCTACGCTGGCACAGGAGGAGGGGGAGGTCGCGTGGATGCACATGCTCGTGCGTGGCCGAAGTCCAGCGCAGCATGGAAGGACGAAGCAGCTGCATCTGGAGTCTGAGTCTGGCTCTGGGGCTGCTGGAGACACTTCAGCCCATGCTGAATCAAGCCCTGGGCTCTGCAAGCCAGAGTCAGATCAGTGCTGGGGTTCTGGGACAACCTACACTGAGCATTTCCAGCCTGTCTCTGGGGGTTTCCCCCTGGCTGGGTGATCCCTGCTGGTCTATCCATGCTCTTTGCTCGCTGCAGGGATGCTGTGAGGGATGCACAAGGTAGGGATGCTCTGGACCTATTGCCTACAGGGCTGACTCCTCCTGCTCAGGGAGTGCGTGGGATCCCATTCAAAAAGGGCTTCTCCCCTCTGTGTCCTCCTCACATGGGGCATCATGAACTGCTCTCCAAGGAGGCCTGGGCAGTGCCAAGGGGCCAAGCTCACATGGAAACACCAGGTATAGGGAGGCCAGCTACCACCATGCTGGCTGGGTGACACATCTCCTCCCCACACATGCCAGTGCGGTGGGCAGAAAGGTCTCCGCCATCCCTCCACGATGCCAGCGTTACCCCAGGATTGCTCTCCAAGACCCAGGTGCGATCCTGAGCCTGGCCAGATGTCGGCCGGGGAGAGCAGCCCCGTGACTGTGTGGCACCTTTCCTGGGACTGGGGGGGCTGAGGGGAGCCGGCAGCGTGGGAGGGGGTCAGCACTGCCGGGGGAGAGCAGCACCCTCAGGGGTGCGTACTGGCATGTGATTCAAGCAGGGCCCCGCCTGGCTCTGGGGTGGGAAGAGGAGCTATGTGCCAACCTGCTCGCCCACATCAACCAGCCCATGCCAGCTCTCCTTGCCCAGCCTTTCCTGGATAAGATCCGGCAGCCTGGCCAGTCCATGCCCCGTCCTGCTCTGGGCAGCAAGGGGACATCTCTGCCCATCCGGACCCTTCCCAGGCACTGTGGGAGCTGCTGCTCTGCCGAACAGGGTGGGCAATGACCCACCCTTTGGTCTGACCCATGAAAGGGGCTGGGGGCCACCTTCCCCTGGGTCCTGGGCAAGCCAAGGGAATTGCAGGGAGGCAGGCAAGCGCTGTGCTGCACCGAGAGGCTGGGGGAAGGATGAATCAGGGTGGGAGAAGCCGGGCAACACCACCTTTCCCACCATAAGGTCAGGCTGGCGAGCAGGAACTGCCCAGGCAGCGGTGCCAGGGTGGCGTTTGTGGCACGGCACCATTTGTTCCCGTCCATCGGGTGTCACTTTGCAGCAGTGATGCGGGAGGGAGGAGACAGAGCCAGGGCGTAAAGGGCATCCCGGGGCGGCGGGGCCAGGGAGCGCATTCCTGCTGGCCGAGTGGGCTGGAGCAACAAGGAGGCATTGACGGGGAGAGGGGCCGCGCGCAGGAGCACGTGTGACCGTGAGAGAGGTGTGGGTGTGAGACCGAAGAGCCGTCCCGCCGGCCGCTCTGCCGTCCCTGGCCCCGCGGGGCAGGTCTGCCCGGGGAGGGGGCTGTGGGAGCCACCCTTCCCGCTTGGGACCGGTGCACCGGGTATTTGTTTGCTTTGCTCTCGTGGGACAGAGCTGCACGTGGCCTGACCCGTGTCTCGTAGCATGGTTTGCCGAGCACTGCGGACCGCTGAGATGCTGGGGAGCTTTTGTTTTAGCAGCAAGAGTAGCTTGCACTCCAGGGAGTAGCTGACCTTGGCGTGCCCAAATCCTCCCACCGTCTGGAAGATGCCAGGCAGCCAGCCTCCTGTGCCTGCCTTGGTTTCCATCATGGGCATCCCACCACCCTGGGACCCCTGCCCCATGACCCAGCAGGCTTTGGGGCGATATCCCTGCAGGTCAGGCTTGCAGGAGCTCCTGGCCAGGGAAGCCCAGCAGCACTGGGCTCAGCTGCAGCACACCGTGCTCGGCAGGGCTGGCGGCAGCATGTGCTGCACCGTGCACCATGCACCATTCCCATCCCTTGCCTGCTTCTGCGAGACCCAGCTCCCTCCAGCAAGGAGATTCCCCAACATGCCCTGGAGCACAGGAGAGCTGTGCTCTGCCCCTCCAGCCCCTCAGGATGAAACAATTTGCCCCTGGCCACGGGGGCCTGGCACAGCTGAGCCGAAGTCTAGTGACGCCAACACCAGCTGCACAGAAACCTGTCACCTCAGATCCTCCTGCGGACGCTCAGGCGCTGCCTGTCTGCCAGGGCACGCACCCAGCTCTGAGCAGGTAGGGTGTAGGTGTTCCAAGGACAGGCAGGGACGGGCAGCACGGCCTCATGGGGAAAATGCTGGCGGGATTTATTTCAAGCTTTGAACTTCAGGTGTGGAAGAGGTTGGAGCTGGAGCAGGCTACAGGGGTCTGCCCTGGTCCCAGTATCATGCCCCCCACTCCAGCATCACACTTCCCCCTTCTCTGGTGACACGT